CTCTCTCTCTCTCTCTCTCTCTCTCTCTCTCTCTCTCACACACACACACACACACACACACACACACACACACACACACACACATTGCCCTGAGGGATATAAGAAGGAAATTTGGGGAGAGGATTGATCAAACCCCAAGATCTTATGAATGCTAGGCACATGCTCTACCACATTTTGTTCTTTGGGGTTCTTTTTGTTTTTATTTTTTTAAATTTAGTGTGTATGAGTGTTTTGCCTGCATGTAAGTATACCACGTGCATGCAGTGCCCATGGAGGCGAGAATTGGGCATCAAATCTCCTGGAACTGGAGTTCCAGGAAGTTGTGAGCTCCCATGTGGGTGCTGGGAACTGAACTGGATCCTCTGCAAGAGAAGCAAGTGTTCTTAACGGCTAAGCCATCTATCCAGATCCTTTTTTTGTATGGTTTTTGTTTTGAAACTGTGGTGTCTTACTTTGTAGCCCTACCTGGCCTGTAACTCTCTATGTATTTGCCTTCCTCTACTTCTACTGAGATGAAAGAAAGGCATGCATCACTATACTCAGCGAAAAGGGATTTTTAATCACATTTTTTTTCTGTCCTTCCTCTATAACATAGCTAGTGATTGCAATAGTATACACTGGGTCTTTGGTGAATCCTCCATTGTTCATAGTCCCCTTTTAAAAGGATATTACCAACCATGTAACTCTGTTTTAGGAGACTTGGCAGTAGATTTGGAGGCCATTTTAAAGCTGACGTAAATATCATTCCTACCCACCCCCCTTTCATAGAGGATCTTCAAATGCTTCCTTAAAGGAAGAAGAATATAAGGAACCTTCCCTCTTCCATTCCGGGCACAACTACCCCTTATCTGATGGAGATTGGTCTCCATTAGAAACGTAAGTATCTTTGAATTTTTTTCTTAAAGGGGAGGAGCATACCTAACAGTGTCTATGACATTCTACAGTGATATAATTTCATATAATAGAGTATCTGTTCACTAAAACTTTAACATGAATATGAACTGTTTTTCTCAATTATTTTTTTCTAAATTTAATCTTACTCTAATAGTGTTTGCCAATTGTAAATGTGGATAACCAGCACAGAATTGGCCATGTCTACTATTAAATTCTAGGGGTTTGGTACCAGCTAAGTAATATAGTAGGAGAGCATATGGTCTCACTGTTTATTCTGTGATCAAGTCTATGTGTATTAACTGATTATTAAACCCACTTCTCTGTGCCTTTCCTGTCCTGCAAATTGCCTATCTCATTGATCGCCTGTGAGACACGAACTGCATACAGTGAAGTCTTTACAGAGAACCTGGTAGATCCTCAGTAAACACTAATTGGATTTTTATTTTATTAAGAACCCCAAGTGGAAGAAATAATTGAGTTCCTTAGAGCATTTGTATCTGTAGTGGTCATTTAAAACCTTGTATGTGCTTCGCTCTGTCAACCTCAGGAATGCTGAAGCTTTGCTTTACTTTGCTCCCGTGTTTGTAGCACTTATCCCCAGGCAGTGTGTCCTAAGAGCGATTCAGAGCTGGAGGTGAAACCAGCGGAGAGCCTGCTGAGGTCTGAGTCTCACATGGAGTGGACATGGGGCGGGTTCCCAGAGTCTACCAAGGTACTAATGTGGGCGGTTCTGGAAAGCCTGTGGGATGTGTAAACACCTGAAGAGCCATCTGTAACTGAGCTCACATAGTATAATGACAGCATTGCCCTCTTGTGGTTGTAAAAGTAAATTGAAAAATTAACATTTTTCATAACATTTCTATATATTTACTTGAAACTGAAGGAATCCAGTTTTCTTTATAAAAAATAATGTTGATTGCTTATTAATGTAAGAAAATGTTAAAGGAAATTAAAATTTCCACACTGAATTTTTAAATTACTGAAGTTGGGGTGGGGTGGAGCTCACTTGGTAAGATACTTGCCTAGCATACATAGGAGGCTCTGGGTTCCATCCCCAGCATCAAGAGAGGGAGGGAGGGAGGGAGTTATTAAAACTTTTTTGCCAGCTCACAATCAAAGAAGAATAAAGTAGAAAACTACATTTCTTGAAAAAAACATTTAGATTGTCTGTTGAAATTAGTTTTTTAAAAATACAGATTTTGCTTATGTTTATGATTACTTTTAAATTGATGTAATGAACCTTGAAGTAGTTTAAGCAGGATTAACTTTTCATTTAAAACTGTAAGTTGTTTTCCTCAAAATAAGCATTTTCTACTATAGTATCTGAAAATTGTCATACTTTTTTGTTTTCTCCAGTTTTTAACTCTTCATAGTAAACAATTATATATATAGCTTATAAATAGCATGATGTTGAGGCCAGGTGTGGTGGCACACGCCTTTAATCCCAGTACTTGGGAGGCAGAGGCAGGCGGATCTCTGTGAGTTCAAGGGCAGCCTGGTCTGCATAGTGAGTTCCAGGACAGCTGGGGCTACAGGGAGACCCTGTCTCAAAAAGACCAAAAAAAAAAAAAAAATCATGATGTTGAACAAATTGTAATTATTTTGCCAATTGTGGACTACTTCATTTAACTTACAGCTAATATGTTACCTTAAAAATTAACATACTAGCTTAAGAAAAATAGATCGTGCCAGGCATGGTGGCACACATGCCTTTAATCCCAGCACTTGGGAGGCAGAAGCAGGTGGATCTCTGAGAATAGAGGAACATAGAGAGTTCTAGGCCAACTGAGACTACAGGGAGACCCTGTCTATAAAAAAAAAAAAAAAAACTGAAAAGAGCTGGGGGCTAGAGAGATTGCTCAGCAGTTAAGGGCACTGGCTGTTCTTGCAGAAGACACAGGTTTCGTTCCCAGGTTCCCGTCACCCACATGGCAGCTAACAACTGTCCTTAACTCCAGTTTGAGGGGATCCAAAGCCCTCTTCTGACCTCCACAGGCATTACACAACACAGGCGTACCTCCCTACATGCAGGCAGTTTGCTCACACACATAAAATAAAAATAATAAAGTACTTTTTTTTAAGAGAAAAAGGGGCTGGAGAGATGGCTCACCGGTTAAGAGCACTAACTGCTCTTGCAGAGGACCCAGGTTCAATTCCCAGCACCCACATGGTGCCTACGAACTGTCCTTAACTACAGTTCCAGGGAAATCCAACGCCCGCTTCTGACCTCTGTGGCATTGCATGACACAGGTGCACTCACATACATGCAGGCAATACAGTCCTACACATAAAATAAAAATAATAAATAAAAATATATTTTAAAAAAGAAAAATGTATCATAACAAATATATTTGAAATTAATTTTTAAACAATGCACCTGTCTAGGTCAACAAGAGAGAAAGATATGACTATCATCCTAGGACAGCTACAATTACACCATCAGAAAATACCCATTTTCGGGTAATTCCCAGTGAAGACAGCCTCATAAGAGAAGTTGAGAAGGATGCTGCCATTGAAGACACTGTCTGTACCATAGTGAAACCCAAGCCCAGAGCTCTATGTAAGCAGCCGAGTGATAGAACTACCGCAGAACTTTCCGAGACACCTCTTGAGGCTCTTCAGATTTCATGTATGTTAGATGCAGACCATGTTCCCAGCTCATCCTCAATGGAGGCTCCCTCAGAACCCAAACCAACTGCTAAAGTGGACTCGCCAACAAAGAAGAAAGGTAAGTGTTTGAAGTCACATTCTGTGGATGTAGATATTCTGTTCAGCATTTTACATAATGTATGACTCGTGGTCTCCAGTGAGAAGTATGGGTCACCACTGCACACTTCATTGTGATGACTTACCTTCTATGGCTTCTCTTATTTTGTGAGCTCCATCAGAACTAGACTTAAACATCCCCACTGCTATCTTCTGAGTTGGGACGGATCAGGCCTTTGAGAAGTATTTACTGAGAGAATAAATGAACGAGTTCCAGTCAGTTAACAAGTACAGTGCCGGTACAGTGCCGGTACTTGTCACCATGAAGAGTGCATTTTTCTATCCCCCACATAGACTAAGAACCTTAAACCAAGGTCCTTCCAAGGTTTACATGGTGCATTTCATCATTGACTAGGTGTGTAAAGTGAAATCTTAACATGAGTTTATGTTTTAAATAGGAAAAAAAAAAAGTGAGAAAAATTTTTTCTCCTCAAACATCTGCTTAGATGAAGTAAAGTTCATTTGTCTCTTAAAATAGTGTGGAGAAAGTGGACTCCTACTCTTGGCTCAACAGCTCTGCATCACTATGGAGTAGTTTCAGCACAGGCTTTTTTACCTGTCGATACTTGGTACAGTGAGCATCAGATTTACATAACTCCAGACACTTGCTTGGATCCTATTTTTAGGGAAGTAAAACCTTACCTAAAACATACTTAGCTGAATACTTCACTTTAAAAAAATAATCAAATAGCAAAGGTTACAGTATCACAAACTAAGTTAATAAATACGCAGTGCAGATAAAGGCCTTTAGATCATTTTGAAGTGTTATCTAAAATAAAAAACTTACTGTCAAGGCTGTTGGTGGCCAAACCTGACTGTGTAGCTGACTGGCTCTCACCAAAAGTCTGTATACCATTTGTTCTGTTCTAAGAACTGTGCAGGGCTATATCCAATTCTATGTGAAAGCTTTATGTTCATCTAGGTAATAGTGACCTGTGGTCCTAGCACACAGTACAGAAGAAGTTCATAGAACTAAGAACGCTGAATGGTTCCCACAATTCTTTGCATTCTTTGAGTTTATTCTCCACCCCCCCACTTTCTTATGAGAATTATATACTTACCATGATAGATCCTTAATGATGGATATGGTCTAAGAACTGTGTCATTAGGCAATTTAGTATTGTGTGAACGTCACAGTGTTTTTACACAAACCAAGGTGTTGTAAAGCAAACCTTGGACCTGGCCTCTTGTACTCAGGAGATGCAGTGAACATTAAATGGACAGGGCTGCTGCCAGGCTATGGCATGGTATAGTTTTACAGTGAGCTGTCAATAGATAAATGGGAGTGTGCCCCACCATAGTGATGAACAATGAATACATAAAGCAGGCGCTCAGCCGTTATCATTATCTTGTATGAAACTGGACATGCTGCACTGATACAGGACTAGCAACACACAGCATCATCACAGACATGAAAATGTGTTACCTGAAGTGCTACAGTAGCTACAGCATCACTAGGTGCTAGAACGTATCGGGTCTGTTGTAATCTTATGGGACCACCATTGTATATTTGTCCATCCATTAAAATGTCATTACATGATGGACAGTGTGCTTCCTTGCTTAATGGAGTGCTTTCTCCTTCCTCCTTCCTCATGCCCGTACCCAGACACATTTGATTTTTTTTAACTATTTGAAGGCAAGTTGTAGACATTAAAATAGTTTACTCTTAAATACCCTAGACATACTATGTAAGAACGTACTCTGTAGGACTAGACTACCCCCCTCCCCCAGGAAATCTCGTTGTCTTGCAGAATTGTAAATAGTTAATACATTCTTACCTCTGATTTTTTTTTTTTTAATAAAAATAGGTGTCCATAAGAGAAGTCAGCACCAGGGACCTGATGATATTTATCTCGATGACTTAAAGGCTCTAGAACCTGAGGTGGCAGCTCTCTATTTCCCTAAAAGGTAGTGTGTGCTTTGTTTGTTAACATGTAAACAACTCTGAAACATTCTTATTATTTCATCTGAAGAAAAGGAACAAAGTGATTGTCTTTTAGCTAAATGTTCTTAATATTCCAGATTTTGGAAAGCCCATAAATAGTATTTGTTGTTTTTACTCTAATAATTTGAAATTAGATGTTTATGAAAACATTTGATTAGGTAAAGAGAGAGACCAGTTAAACCTACATAAGGGTATTTGACTTTATATTAGTGCCTTTTAAAAAAATTTTAATATTACTGTTGTGTGTGAGTATGGCACACTTGTGCCACTGTGCATAATGTGGAGGTCAGAGGACAATAGAGTCAGTTCTCTGCTTCCCCCATATGGATGTCAAGGAATCAAACTCATGTCACTAGGCTTGCACAACAAATCCTGTGAGACCTGCTGAGCCATCTTGTGGCCCTCGATTAGTACTTTATTTTTACAGTCATTAATAGCGAACAGTGTGCTTAGGAAAAACCTTTAGCTTTTGTTTAGTTATGCATTTAATTAAAATTTTGTTTTATGTGTATGAATATGCTACCTTGCACATAAGTGTACCTGTACATGCAATGCCTGCAGAGGCCAGAAGAGCACATTGAATCCCCTGGAACTAGAGTTACAGATGGTTGTTAGCTGCCGTGTGAGTGCTAGGAACCAAACTCAGCTTCTCTGCAAGAGCAACCAGTGCTCTTAACCACTGAGCCACCTCTCCAGCCCCATAATTACGTATTTTTAAATAATACATTTTGATTTTTAAACAATTTACAAAGAATGCCTTCACTCCTTTGAAGAGTCTGTAGCCTTTTATGAATTCAAATCTTACAAGGCCCCATTCCAGGTGGTCCTCTGTTCCCCACATCGCCCACAGTTTGCACCATCGGTCACACAGCCACTCTCTTCCATCCCTCATTATTTTAAAACCTTGAGCCTCAAATCTAATGTGTGTGAACTGTCTTCCCAAGTTCATTCCAACCTTAAAGGAATTCTTACATGATATACCAGTTATAAAACCCAGTTTTTATTTTCTCACAGAAAGTATGGCTTGAATCTACTGAGCCATATACATAATTACATACTTTTAAATGAATTACTAGGAACCAAGCTTCATTTTTACTTGGAATAGAAAGATAAAAGTGACATAAGATATTTAAGTTTTTTGACAGATATGTTTAGGAGGTTCTTAAAATTCCTTCCTGCCTCTCTAACCCTAAATTACTTCAAAATATCTACACATTTTATTTGAAGTAATAAGTTTTTTTTTAAGATGAAAAAAATAACATTGCTGGAGTTTTTTAGTAGAAAATATGGGAATATGGGAAAATATAATCTTTGAGTTGTCACTTTCATATTTCTCAGACCTTTATTCACATCGATTTTTTTTAATATCTTCAAGAAATAGGGCAAGTCACTAAATGCAATGAAACCTTACTGTGTTATAATTTTACTGGATAGGGTTATTTATATAAGAACCAATTACTGAGGCAAGTCATAGTCTATTTTGTTGTATATCAGCATGATTTGTCATAATTGTCACTGTCTTTGCTATTAAATAGCCATCATTTTGTATAGCTAAACTTTCCTGCAGGTGCTGTCACTCTTGTGGATTGGCAGCATGCTGAGTCAGTCAGTTTAAATGTTATTACTAATTGGAGACAGCAGCTGCTGTAACTGATAAAGCCCAAGGTCTTGGTAGTTTCCACAGTAGAGCCTTATTTCTTGCTCTCAGATAGCATCCCAGTGCTCATGTTTACACACAGGCATTTAGGAACACAGTCTCCCTCTATCTCAAGGCTCCACCATCGTCTCAGGCCTCAGAGTCTAGCATTTACAAGCAAAAGACAGGAAAGAAGAAAAGACCTCACTTGTGGAGTGCGACACACCCTTTCCCATATCCACAGCTCAGTCATGTGGCCACTGGATCCTCGTTATGTGCCCCCTAAAGACAACACAGCCATCTTCTGGGCCAAGCATGGGCCCTGCTCCTCTGTACCCTCCCCACATGGGTATTGCTGCTTACCGTTTCTCAGCAGGTTTAGCTTTTTAACCATCTTCAGTGAGAATATTAGTTTAATCGCAATTTTTTGGAGGTGAACATGCGTTGCTATTAAGAGAAAATTTCCCCAAACCTAAAACTACTTCCTACTTGGAACATGTCTGCATGTCTATAAGTCTGCTATCCAGAACCCTTGGCTTTTTGCATTGGGGGTATGACTCAGTTGCAGAATGCTGGCCTAGAATGCAAGAGTGCCCTGGGTTCAATCCCCAGTACTTCTAAAAAAAAAAAGCTGACTTCTAGGGGAAAAAAAAAAAACCGAACACCCCAATATTCCATTAAAACTTGCAAAACTCACCAGGCATGGTGGTTCATGCCTGCAGTCCCAGCACTTGAGAGGCAGAGGCAGGTAGATCTCTGTAAGTTCAAGACCAGCCTGGTCTACATGGTGAGTTCCAGGCCAGCTGGGGCTACAGGGAGACCCTGTTTCAAAAAAGAGGGGGAAAAAAATTGCAAAACTCAAAAGTAGTAAGTATTTGTGAGTAAGAAATACAATGCTGCTTCTTGTTTTTAAGTTCCATTACAGAGTTGGCCATGTGCTCATGTTCTGACCAAGTTTTCTGTGCCGTATCTAGAAAAATCGAGAATTCCCTCATCTTTAGTTCTGGGCCTCACTGTTATAGAGGCAATTTTCTTTTCTCTAGGTGTGTTTAGCCGCCTGAGTACTTGTTTCTTAAGTAATTAATGTCTTCTTTTTAAAATTAGTTTTAGATAAGATTTAGAAAACCCTTATGCTTGGGTTTTTTTAAGTTGGACAGGAAATATGTATATAATACCATGCCTTTTTCCTGGAATTCAGCATCAGAAAAGTTTCCACGTGTTATATTTTTCTTAACTATGCTGTCATTTTCATTATGGAAATGTAAATAAATGTTTATAACTCTTTTAATTACCGTCAGAAAGGCCACAGTTGAACAGTTTGCATCATTTTGAACAACGAAGTGGCTTTGTAAACTTTTTGCTGCATTCGCAGTTAATTCCGTAGTATTAGGTTCTTGCTAGTGTCATTTATCCTGTGATTTTAAACACTGCTTAAAGAAAGCTATGTCAGGGGCCTAGAGAAGTAGCTCAGTGGATGAAGAGTGCTTGCTGTGCAAGCATGAAGACCTGAGTTCAAATCCCTAGCACCCTCAGAAAAAGGCATAGTTGCTGCCTTTGCCTGTGACTCCAGCATTGGGAGGGGGGTGTTAAATCTTAAAAGCTATGGCCGGCCAAATGGCAAGCTTCCAGTTCAGTGAAAGACCCTATCTCAAGGCAACAAGACTTCCTCTTTATAGAAGAAGACCCCTAACATCATATTCTGGCCTCTGCCTGTGTGCTCCCACACTTGAGTGCTTCTCCTCTCTGTCTCTCTGTCTCTCTCTCTGTCTCTCTCTCTCTCTGTCTCTCTCTCTCTCTCTCTCTCTCTCTCTCACACACACACACACACACACACTCACACACACACACCATGAAAGTCATGTCTGATTGTCGCTTCCTCTTAGAATATGCTGTTTGATTTGATTCCCCCAGAGGACCATCTACTAAGCCAAAAATATAAGGAGTTGTGATAGATTAAATACCTCTCTCAGGGCTAGAGAGATGGTTCAACATTTATTCTTCTTACAGAGGATGGAGGTTTGGTTCCTAAAACTCACATGGGGGCTCACAGCTGTCTGTAACTTCAGTTCCAGCAGTTCCAACATCCTTTTCTGGTCCCCAGGCATGCATGCAGTTCACATACATCCACACAGGCAAAGCATTCACACAGATAAAAATAAATCTTTTTCAAAAATTCTTCTTTCCGGGGCTGGAGAGATGGCTCAGCAGTTCAGAGTACTGACTGCTCTTGCAAAGGACCCGGGTTCGATTCCCAGCACCCACATGGCGGCTAAAAAACAATCCTTAACTCCAGTTCCAGGGGAATCCGAAGCCCTCTTCTGACCTCTGCAGCATTGCACGATACAGGTGCACTCACATACATGCAGGCAATACACTCATACACAAAATAAAAATAACAAATAAAATATATTTTTTTTAATTCTTCTTTCCTTCCCCCGCTGCAGTGAAACAGATCCCGGTTCCAGGCAGTGGCCTGAGTCTGACACGTTTTCTGGCTCCCAGTCCCCACAGTCTGTGGGAAGTGCAGCAGCAGATAGTGGCACCGAGTGCCTCTCAGACTCTGCCATGGACTTACCAGATGTCACTCTCTCCCTTTGTGGAGGCCTCAGTGAGAATGGAGAGATTTCTAAAGGTATGCTGGGCAGACATACCCAGTCTTCGCCTCATAGAGCAGCCTGGTGATCATTTGATTTAAAATCTGCCTTTGTAAATCTGCTTTTAACCATTCTGGGTTGTCCACATTCTTTACTGGCCTTGTATATCAATTATCTTTCTTTAATGTTTGGCCCTTAGCCAAACATTATGCCATTATGCCTTTAATGGCGTAGTTTTGTGAGGGAGGCTTGAAGTTTCTAGTTTCAAATTCAAAAGGTGAGAGCTTACAGGCTGCCCTGTCTGCTGAGCAGCGGGATTGGGGCCCAGCTGCCTTCCTAACAAACACTGAGATTCAACCATGAAGACGGGGCCTTGAGGCTGTGAAACTGTGATGGTTCACTAAGTAGACAGTCTTTCAGTGTTCTGGGAAAAAGGAGGATTACTTTCTGTTTCCAGCTTGAGAGATGGCTATGTGGTATACACACCACTGTAGAGTAGGAAGGATCTGATCAAGTAGGCAGGTAGAGTGTCTCTAGGTGAGGTGGAGCACCCAGGATTCCACTGTTCATATTCTTCTACCTTCTGGTCCCCCATCCCTTGTGCGAGGACTGAACCAAGGGCCATGCACATGCTAGGCAAGCACTGTCCCATGAGATACATCTAATTTCCTTTTTATTTTAGTTTAGATAATGTTTTACTAAGTTGTCTACATTAGCCTTAAACACAATGTGCAGTCTAGAACTCAGTATACAGTCTAGACAGTTCTGGTGCCCTCACTTGTCCTGCCTCAGCCTTCCAAGTAGCAGGATTATAGACATGGGTATCTGACAATTTTTTATTTATTTTAAATTAAACAATATTTTCTCAGTTTGGCCAATGGCCTGTGGTGAATGTTCCTAGAACCTAGAGCACAAGCTTTTCTTTCCAAGGTTAGTACCATCATATTAACACTTTTCTTGTGTCTCTCCTTAGAGGTACTAAAGGTGATTGTATGACACGGGTGTACTCACATGCAGGCAGTACACTCATACACATAAAATAAAAATAATAAGCCGGGTGTGGTGGCGCACGCCTTTAATACCAGCACTCAGGAGGCAGAGGCAGGCGGATCCTCTATGACATGGCAGCTATGAACCATCCTTAACTCTAGTTCCAGCAGAATCTGAAGCCCTCTTCTGACCTCTGTGGCATTGCAGGACACAGGTGCATTTACATACATGCAGGCAATACACTCATACACATACAATATAAATAATAAATAAAATATTTTTTTAAAGTACTAAAGAATAGCCCTAGAACTGGCTTGGAATGACAGCTAGGGGTGGGGTATGAAAGAAGGGAGCTTTTTTGGTCCTGAAAAAATTAGAAAGTATCCAATACTTAACACTTAACTTTTTTAAAGAGGAGTTACATTTTTTCCCCTTAACTAACAAGTCCTGTAGTGCAAAGAGTACTGTCCCCCTCTTACAGGAATTCATATACTCTCTAACCAAGCTGATCATTATTTTACATTGCAGAAAAATTCATGGAGCATATCATTACTTATCATGAATTTGCAGAGAACCCTGGACTTATAGACAATCCTAACCTGGTAATAAGGATATATAACCGGTAAATATAACTTAGTTTGATCATTGTTAAACACTCTTGTTGTTTTAGCTGTCATAGTTTTCTTGGTTCACAAAATTTGTCATCTCATATAATGAGCCAACAGGCAGTGACTTCAAGTGGGACTGAAGCATCAGCTTGTTTTAAATGAGTCATTGAAACACTGTTATTCCATTTTATAGATTTACTACTTCTCTGTTCAGAGAAGCTTGGCTTAAAGCAAATTTTTCATGTAACAGAAACTTCATTCCCCATCTTTTTATTGAAAAGAATAAACAGTTTGAAAGGTTACTTTTCTACCCCCCCCCCACATACCCATCCTGCTTTGCTTCTCTCTTCTTCTTTCTCTGTGTAATGATTTTGCACAATTTTTGTTTCTCGTAGTTACTATAACTGGGCTTTGGCTGCTCCCATGATCCTTAGCTTACAAGTGTTCCAGAAGAGTTTGCCTAAAGTGAGTGGTCTGCATGTGAAACCTTCTTCAAAGTATCTACAGCATTCAGTAGTCAGAACATTCATATGTCTGTTTTCTGAAATGGGTTTTAGTCAAAATTTTGAGTTTAGACTTTCATATCAAAGATCCAAATTGCTGTATTTGCCTACTAAAACCTGCCTGCCACTTTTCCCTCTTATTTTTAAGTATTTATACCAGCCTCTGGTGATGTATAAAGGTTCAGAGATTTGGGTAAAGAGTGTAGCGCACTGATAGAACATGTTCCTGGAATACATAAGGGTCTGAGTTCAGTACCCAGTGCCACAGAAGCAAAGGCAGAATGAAGTTAAGAGATTTTTACAATATCATAAGTTTAAAATGAAATCAAGGAATAAGACTTCTTCCTCTTATTAATATGGGGAAAAGCAGCAAGAAGTGGGTGATGTGGCCACCAGAAACATGACATAGGTGCAGTTGGTTCAGATTGTGGCTGAGACACGTTATCTAGAGTCTTCTCTCTACCAGCAAGACATCATTAACCTGGTTAGTCCTTGTGTCATGAGAGCCACATGCTCCAAAGATAGTAAAAGCTGCTACAGAACCCTAGGTCCTCTGCAGCCACACCCCCAGGCCTTACCACGAAACTGCCACAAAGCCTTGCTGCTGCCAAAGGAAATGTCTTCCTTTCTGGGCTACCTAAAGCACTGGATGGATTTGGGAGGTGCATAGTGTATCACTAGCATTCTAGAACAAGGTGCTGTCCTGTAGGCTAATGGTAGAGAGGAATCAATACTTTACAACTACTAGATTGCCCATATTGACCCATGTTGACTGTTTGCAGGCCACAGTCGAGTCCTGGGTTAAAGACAAGATGCCAAAAAAATCTGGTCGCTGGTGGTTTTGGCGTAAGAGGGAAAGCATGACCAAACAGGTAATGGATCTATGATTTATTTCAACACTTTTTGCCACACATAAGTTGGCAACACACACTGGAGAGATGGCTCAGTGGTTAAGAACACTGGCTGCTCTTATAGAGGACCTAGGTTTGGTTCCCAGCACTCACATGGCGGCTAACAACCATCTGTAACTCCAGTTCCAAGAGATCTGATGCCCCCTCTGATATCCACTGGCACTGCACAACATTGGCACACATACATATATGTAGGCAATATACCTGGGCAATATACGTATACACATAAAATTTAAAAAAAATAAGACTTTTTTTTTTTTTTTAGGAAAAAGAAGTAGGCTACAGTTGCTGTTCTGTAGTGCCCACTTCTGAGCAGTCACTGCATGCAGGTGCTGCAGTGGTGCTTAGCACCAGAGATGTTTGAATTTTTAGGCCATTTTTAGGAAGCTTAGGCACAAAGAGGCTAGAACTGGTGAAATCGTGTAACTGGTCCAGGAACTGTGACTAACCTAGAGTCTGACTTGACAGCTATGCCTTTTCTACTCCCCGTGCTACCTTTCAGGCGCAACTAAAAGGTTATAATCCTGCACAAATCTACATGAAAATATCCAGTGCCTGCTCTTCTAGCAAAGCACCAGGAGAGTAGGTTCATCCAGAGACTGACACTGAATGGATGATAGCTAAGTCTTCATTTTCTGGAGCTCTCTAAAAAGGATTCTGGGGTTTCACCTGTTTTCAGCTCCCAAGTAGAGGAAGTCAGTTTCTCAAGTTCATGGTCATGAGTTGAGGTTTTTCTTTCTTAGCAGGGGCTACAGCTGAATTCTGGCTCATGTGTAAAGAAAACATTGTGCATTAAAATTATCATCCTTTTTTTTTTTTTTAGCTGCCAGAGACCAAGGAGGGAAAATCTGAGGTTCTGCCAACCAATGACATGCCTTTGAGCACTGAGGAGCCGACCAGTGCCAGGTGCCAAGCCCTGTCCTTCCTCACAGCCCTCGGGCAACTCCTGCTTGGCTGTCACATCAAAGTTGATCTTGGCACTTGTACTTCATTTTAGTCAGAAACATCTTCCTCCTGTAGATAGACATGACATTAAGTGACTTGCTAGTGCCACTCAGTAGATAAGCAGTTAATCAGTTTAGAGGACTAAATACGCTTATCACTACTTCTAAATATCTTGCCGCCATCACAGAGCCGTGGAGTTACTGCTAGGAAAGGTAGGATTTGGGAAAGGATCCTGGACACCGTGGGGCCTGTTTTGGTGCCCCTGCTCCCTGCCTGTCAGGCAGCAGAGGGACGCGTGAAGAAGAGTGGGTTTGGGTGTGTTGCCTTCTCTAGACCTTTCAAGTTGGCTGAGCCACAGAAGACTTGCTCCGCTGTGCATTTCTGTCCCCAGTTCAGTGCTGTCTCCTCTCTCCTAAGCAGTCCAGCCCGGGAGTTTATCTTTCTCCTCTTTACTCCTCACTGAAGGAGTGTACAAAATGAAATTCACCAGCTTTTTTAAAATTGATATGCACAACATTTTCTTTAATCTGTATCTTTTAAAACACATAGTTGTTAGAATAGGTGGACCTGAACAGCATTCACTTGACACAACAGAAAATAACAGGTCAAAACTAGAAGTAACTAGCTAGCCATTTACAAGAGGGAGAAAGGCAGTGGCCTTTTCAGTTAATGATGTGCATAGTTAGGGCATAGTAACTGGATATGGACAAGTGGTAGAGCAAACAGCTCTTGCCATCCTTAAAAGGTTGTGGTTTCTCTCCCCCTCTTTTTTCCTATGTAGCCCAGGTTGGCCTTGAAATTGAAGTCCTTCAGCGTCAGCCTCCTGGGGGCTAAAAGTATGGGCATGTGACGCTTCTTTATTTTCCTGATCCTAAATTAAACTGTCTTATCAACAAAACACAATTCCTCTTAGTAACTAGTTTGGTGTTGGATAGGCCGGCTGAAGATGACACTTCTAGTGATGATGGGTCACAGGAGTTGGAAGAATCAATCAAAGCAGACACCATCTCCATGGAGACACTGAGTCACTGCAGCACAACTTCATATAAGAAGTCTCTCCGACTCTCCTCAGACCAGATTGTAAGTTTCATATGATTATTGTGGGTTCAATAGTGCTTCCTAGTAACCCTCCATCCATCCCCCCACACACACACAGTGTGTACTTATTTAAATGCTTCTCCCCAGGGAACAGTAACCCCAGACCCTGGTGTGCAGTCAGGCCAGTCCAGGGAGCTGGTAACATGGGTTCCTCCCCACCCAGACCTCCTGCCTTCATTTCTGGGAGTAAACCAAAGAAATCAGTATTTTTTTAACTTTTATTTATTTTTATTTTATGTGCATGAGTGTTTTGCCTGCATGCATATTAAAAGTGCACCATGTACTTGCAATGCCTATGGAAGCCAGAAGAGGGCATTGGGTCCTCTGGAACTGGAGTTACAGACAGTTGTTACCTGCCATGTGGGTGCTGGGAACTGAACCTAGGTCCTCTGCTAAGCCATTTCTCCAGCCCAGAAATCAGTATTTTTAAAAAAAAGTTTTTAAGTATTTTATTATTTTTATTTTATGTGTATGCGTGTAATTGCCTACATGTAGGTAAGTGTACCCGTGTCATGCAATGCCTACAGAGGACAGAAGAGACTGTCAGATCCCCTGGAACTGGAGTTACAGACAGTTGTTAGCTGGGATTTGAACCCAGGTCTTCTGCAAGAACAGTCAGTGCTCTCATCTGCTGAGCCATCTCTCCAGCCCCAGAAATCAGTATTTTTAACATGCTTCTTTGGTAACTCTTACTGTTCACTCAGCTCTGGACCACTCACTGCCTCTTAGGAGCTACATATGGTAGTAGAGCAATGACATTTTAGATTTCCCCTTGTTTGATTTTCTCCATCTCATTTTGACAGATTTTTAGAATGAAATAGCATTTCTGCGTCTCGCAAGAGGCTGTGGCAGGGCAGTGGTTTCACGGATGAAGGACGATGGGAAGGTTTTGTTCTATGGGGGATCAGAAAGTCCTTGGAATTGAGAAGCACTGCTCAAGCAGTGCCTTTCACCCTTTTGTGGGCAGGCTTGGGCTGAGTTACGTGCTGACACCAAAGAAGCTGTATGTCCAGAGTTCTGTTTTAAGCTCTGTTCCGAAGTATATATTTTCAGCTGATTTTATTTGTATGCTTTTTATTACAGGCAAAACTGAAACTTCACGATGGTCCCAATGATGTTGTGTTTAGTATTACAACCCAGTATCAGGGCACCTGCCGCTGTGCAGGCACGATTTACCTGTGGAACTGGAATGACAAGATCATCATTTCTGATATTGATGGAACAATAACCAAGTAAGCTAAGCTTGAGCCTGCTGTGGGGAGCAGGAAGTATCTGGGTTGGGGGAGGGGGTACTCAGTCCTCAGCCATAATAGAAAGTGTCCTTTAAATCATATATCTTAAGACATCCTTAGTGAAGTCTTAGGAGGAAATAGGTGCTATCATACAAATGAATTGTCAAAAATAACTTTTGGAAAGATTTGGCTATTTGATCTCCAAATTCTAGTATTTAAAAAAAAAACAAGCCAGAGGATGGTGTGATAAGAATAGGAGGTAGGAATTGGCTAGGCAGTTAGGGTAAAAAGACCCCAAAGAAATGTAGCCAGTTTCTGGGCTAAAAGTCAAAATGTTCTTGGGCCTGTTAGCAACATACTTTGTTCCAAATGCAAAAAAATGTCAAAAGTATTTGGGATCTTGTATCTAATCCTTAAAAGATTTTAGGGTTACCTCTTCAAAGGGCGGACTGTTGGAGGGGAGGGAGTAGGCATGGATTTGATCAAAACACGTTATATGTGTGTGTGAAATTCTCAATAAAGTTTTTGTAAAAAACTTTAAAGTTTAAAAAAAAAGACAAGCTGTTGAGAAGGGATGAGAGAAAGAAGATGAGATAGTAAATTATCTCTGAAAATGAACATGGGGCTTTCATGTGACTCCACTTCTAGAAGCACCTCAGAGGCGTGTTTTTACAGGGCTGTCTTGGGTTGCATGAAGTCAGAATGAAATCGGTGATAGCCTATCCCCAGCCTGCTCCTCCGCCCTGTGCTTATTGGTAGCTGATATTCCACCAAGTGGAAAGTGTTTGGCTTTGTATGTTTGGTTCCCAATAGCTATTCTAAGTCTACCCTCTTTCCAGGTCTGATGCTTTGGGGCAAATTCTCCCACAGCTGGGTAAAGACTGGACTCATCAGGGTATAGCAAAGCTCTACCATTCCATCAATGAGTAAGCATCTATTCCTACATGTCCTTTTGCTACAGGGAGCTGTAATTTTGCTTTGCTCAAAAGCTAGAGAAAATAACATAAATTTGTGTGTTTACGGCCTAGATGTTTTGTTTTCATGTACTGAGAGCTTTGTATACTTGGTATTGTATTATGGGTTTTACCTGTGTAAAATAATTACTTTTAGCTAGAATTTAGCAGGAGCTGATTTTCATTTTTTGGTTTACTTACTGGGCATTTTAAAATTATATTTCTTTGGGTAGATAGATTGTACAAGCATGCATGGAAAACAGCTCCTTAAGGGAAACTCATGCCATTACCTCTGTAGGATCATACTACATTTGTTACATTGATCTGCAAATGAATAGCACTGTCTTCAATATTAGTGGAGAGTGTTGTAATATGAGACCTATGTCAGTCACTGGGGTGTAATTTTGCTTCTCATCCTACAGAATGGCTTCCATCCTTACACCTAAGATAGCTTGTATATTTCCTTTTTAGCAGATACCTTAAAAAAAATGGTCCCATGTTTTTTACACATTCTGGATCTTTCTTTCCAAACGAGATGCTGCATGTATTACATCAGTACTTTAACAGTCATATTTGCACACACCCTTTTTCCCCATGGTGTTCTCCATGGAGGAATGAAATCTTATAATACTAAACTGCTTTCCTGCTAAGCTCAAGAATTCATTGATTTTCATAGTAAAGGTTTTGCCTTTCTTTTAGCATAAAGATGTGAGCTAAACAGGATATGTGTGTGTTTTGGTTTTTTTTTAGGAATGGTTACAAGTTTCTGTATTGTTCTGCCCGTGCCATCGGCATGGCTGACATGACCAGAGGTTACCTACACTGGGTCAATGACAAGGGCACAATCTTGCCCCGGGGCCCCCTGATGCTGTCCCCCAGCAGTTTGTTCTCCGCCTTCCACAGGTAGCTCTCCAGCGGGCAATCTGGGGTGTGGGGGTGCAGACAGTGGAGTGTGTGAGCATAGACAGGGTTCTGACAGGCTCCCACTGACTGTAGGGCTTCTGTGCTTTTCCTCATTCTTTGGCTCTCGGAGTGATCAGTCAGATATGATGAAAAAAGTTTGTGCTTTCCTTAAGCTCTCTCACCCACTCTCTCGTGAGACTGACTGGCAAAGAAAGAAAGCTGACAGTTCCAAAGGACTAAGAAATTAAGGGTAGCTGCTGTCCGTAACTCCAGTCTCAGGGGATCCGACAGCCTCTTTTGACCTCTGAGGGCATTGCATGACACGGGTGCACTTACCTACATGCAGGCAATACATGCATACACATAAAATAAAGATAATAAATAAAATTTTTAAAAAAGAAGAAATTAAGGGTAGCTGTGAGTGCTAAAACCTTTCCAGAAACATACAACAGTAAAAACTACCATTTTGAATTTGATTATATTTTTTTTTCCTTAGGGAAGTGATAGAAAAGAAACCAGAGAAGTTCAAAATTGAGTGTCTGAATGATATTAAGAACCTGTTTGCCCCATCTAAGCAGCCCTTTTATGCGGCCTTTGGAAACCGTCCCAACGTAAGTGTCTTCTGAGTGCCCCCTGGACTCTAGCAACCAGATTCAGGGAGAGGTGCTTTTTAGGGCAGAACCGTTCTCAAGCCAGACCTATAAGCAAAAGAGAAATGGCTGTTGTGCTAAGGGGGGTTGTCCATGGTGTAGTCCTTTCCCCTACCCCCGGGACTAAGGATTGAACCTAGAGCCTTGAGCATGGTTGACATGTACTCTACCATTGAGCTTTCATTGTGAACCCTTTTAAATTTTTCATTATGAGCCAGGGTCTCAGTAAGCTCCCCATGCTGGCCTTGAACTCACTCTAGCTCAGGCCCCTTGAACTTGAAATCTTCTTACCTCGGCCTCCTTGAGTAGCTACGATTACAGGTCTGTACCAGCAGGCTGGCTTATTCAGTTTCCAGATGCCTCTCTGTCCCAGAAGGACGGCAGAAGACATTCCTTGTTTCTGCAGCTTGAACTTCACTTCCTCAGGCAGGTGTGCCTTACCTTCTAAGTGGCTCTAACCCTTGCCTTTGAGTCACAACATGGTGCGAGTGCTCCCCCTTTCTCAACCTGCCTCGCGTCCTGTATCCTACAGGATTGTTGTATCTCGGGCTCGTGTTCTCAGAAGACCGTGGCTTTTCTCCTTTGCTGCTGGTTTTCTGACACCCTGTGCACCCTCTGGGTTTGGCACTGCTCTTTAGTTTGTGGTTATCTAAAGTTTCTTGGTCTTCAGTTGACATAATGCTTCTGGCCTGTGAGGAAGTAACTCCTCATTTCTTCTCCCGTTTTCTTCTGCAGGATGTCTTTGCTTACACTCAAGTTGGAGTTCCAGACTGTAGAATATTCACCGTGAACCCCAAGGGTGAATTAATACAAGAAAGGACCAAAGGAAACAAGTCATCGTAAGTGCATTCCAGGTTTGCAGCCAGAGTGCAGCTGTGGGTAGACGAGAGCTAAGGTTGGGCCTGCCTGGACAAAGCTGTGCCTCTTTGGGGGGTATCTTTTCCTCATGAACAGTTGTCTAAGGGATATCTGGTTATTTTCACTGTGTAGAAGGAATCTGGGCCCTGGGGTGGGACTGAGCCATAATGACTGTTGAGCAGCTAGCCCCTCAGCTTGTTTTAGTGTAAACAGCCTGCTTCACAGCCCGTGGATCTTGCACCTTGCGTCTGTTTTAAAGTAACAGTTGTGTCCCTCCCCAATGCCTTCTAGGTATCACAGGCTGAGTGAGCTTGTGGAGCATGTGTTTCCACTTCTCAACAAGGAACAGAATTCTGCCTTTCCGTGCCCAGAGTTCAGTTCCTTCTGCTACTGGCGAGACCCGATTCCAGATGCGGACCTGGACGACCTGGCCTGAAGCAGGACCTATGGCAAAGTGGGGGCCACTGTCACTCGCTCCCAAGGGGGAGGTCCCTGGCTCTTACAGATGAGGACCCAGGGCTGGCAGCCAGAAACCTGCTTTTCAGAACAGGGATGGGCTCCCTGAAGCTGGCACTGCCGCCCTCCTTCGCCTTCCCAGGCTGCTGCTCAGCATCTGGATGGAGGAATGAAGGACTCCTCCTGCTCCATCACATGTGGGCCCCCACATGCCTCCTGTGGCGTTGTGTGCTGTGCACCGCTCAGCTGCCTAACTTGAAGAAAACAAACTGAGAAAGAATGGACAGAACATTACTGTACACAGTAAAGTGTTACAGTTTGCACTGGGCACTCGGGATTGTTTGTCTCTATAACCAGGGCTTTCTCCAGAGGCTCAGGGTTCACTCAACTGGCACAGGTTCAATTAGTGTTGCTGGCTAAACCCACGTGTGGACATCCTCTTTGGGACAACTCTACCTTGGGACACCACCCAACTAGGGCAGCTGCTTGATGTGCCAAATTGGGCAGCCTTGAGGACCCATGTACCAGTACCACTGAGCCCAGCTGCACTAGTGTGGGCTTCTCGGGAGTGTCCTTGAATCCTCATTCTCTCACCTGTGACCTGCACAGTGAGGAGCCAGGAGAACAGTTGTTTAAGGGATATCTGGTACATTTGATGTAGATCTGTATTTGATGTCTGGTATAATAGCGCAAAATTGGTGACAGCTTCATCTCAGAAAGGCATAAGGCAGTTGCAGTGGGTCTTTGGGAGTAGCCCTTTGCTCTTTTGCTCTGCCTGTTGCCTGTTTAGGTGGCCCCTTCAGGTAGGTATCATGTGTCAGGACAAGGTTTCTGAAATTATGGGCTTCAGATTTTCCAGGGGAAAAGCCATTGGACAGCAGTGTTGACAGTCCTTTCAATTACAACCACATAGTGAAGTCATGGAGGCCATGGGAGGAGTTGTGGAACTCTTGTTCATGCCAGCATTCAGCAGTGTCCCCAGCCTGTCCCTCTGACTCCTATGGCTCAGACACACCTGCAGCTGGGGGTGCAGAAGTTGCCCTGTGAGACCACATGGGGACATGGGCACCCCTGCATTTCCTTGAAAGCATCATTTACTGGGCTGATTGGTAAGAGCTCATGTCAGATGTCAGAACAGGTGGCACCAAGAAGTGTTGTGTGCTGGAATCCTCCAGAATTTGTGATTGGCTGGGCGTTGACTGTCATTGCAGTACTGACATCAAGAGAATTGTTAGAGGTGTCGGGAGACCTTAAGTGGTTCTCGTTCATAGTCCTCCATTGGGGAGAATCAGGAAGAAGGAGCTTCTGAGCAGAGAGGGCGCTTCCGTTAGGGATGGTACTGTTCCTCCAATGTACGTTACTCTGTAGTTGGATGGGTGATCATTTCATGTTTTAGTTTGCTTCACCCGAAATAATACTGATCTAGAGTTGGCTTAGAAAAGGGGTGGTTATTTTCCAGATTGGAGAGTTGAGTGTCCCTGCCTGATAGCAGCCATTTTCCTAGTACAGTTAAATGCAGAGACTGAAAAACCCTTTGAAAACAATTCTCAGTGGCAACACCTGGAGGCATGTGCCCCCAGAAAAGGTGTGGCACAGGCTTTCACAGTGCCGCCTCCCTTTAGTTCAAAGTTTGCATTAAGTAGTTAGGGAATTCATATGTTTATGTAAAGTTCTGCCCAGTTAGTGAATTAAGATTCTGCTAAAGCAGCCACCCCGCTGCCTTGTTCGTAGACCTTCCACGCCGCCTCTGATATAGCTCACCTCTGATTTAAGGGAATAGTGAGAGCTTTGTGCGCTTCACCTGAGCTTAGTAGGATCTCTGTGGTACAGAAAACCTTACCATACTTCCTCTCCCGTCCTTCTCAGTTTGTCCTTTAGGGAGTTTCTGCTAGGTCGTTTGTTTCCTTCTCTTGACAGACTCTTTGGAAACCCGGGCCTTCTCAAAAGGTCCAGCTTAGGATCTGGCTCTCCAGGCTGTGCCGAGGGGGGTTGGTCCTTCTGTCCCAGTGTCTATCAGTGCTACACTTTGTCGCTGCAAATTGATCAGTGGGTATTTAGGATAATGAATATAAGTCTTTCCTTATTTAAAGGAGCCTGTCTTACTGAAAGATGATTACGATTGCTGTAGTGTTATGGAAGTATTAAGTTTGTGCTGAAAATCCATTGCCATTTGTTACAAATGACATTTGTTCTTTCTGTGAAAGAGAGATGCCCTCAAGTGTGTTTGCACACAATCCTTAGCTGGCTTATTGAAGCATCACCCTTGTAGTCTTCAGTGGTGGGTGCTGTCACACAGGGACAGTGCTGGAGTCACTCTGTCAGTTGTTATGTTGGTGAAATGGCCCCTTTCAGTCCTTCCGGTTCCATCTAACCTTAGTGTTTGCTTTGCTGTTGTGTGTTGAAGTCACACTGCTGTGGGAGTGATGGCTGCTCTTGTTAGGCTGTGTAAGGTGCACGTGTCAGCAGGGAGCCTGCACCTTAGTCTCATGATCAGTGCTGCATTTCCCTGTGGTCTGACACATCTGCCAAGTTTTCCGTTGGAAAAAGAAAGTACTGATGTGATGTCCCCACACAAAAGCTGCTAAAACTCGTAGCAAGAACAGGCAAAGAAGAGAGCGCAGTGGCTGCAAAGTCTTCTGCCCAGAGCAGCCCTGTGCCCCTGGGCCTGCACAGCCTCTCTGCTGCTCTGGAAGGCACAGCAAGACCTTTGAGAGAAGGAACGGTTGGAAGATGTAAGCACTTTCTTTCTCTTTTTGCAAATTGATGAAAATCGATTCTTCTAAGGAGTTTTACCTCTTCAAGTTTTATCATACTCTGGGAAGCCTTGTTCCTGGGTTTTAGAGCATGCATGGTTGTATTTATAACTGGTCAAAGTGAGTGCTCTTTCCCAGTGAAGACTAATTTTTTTTTTTTTTTGGTTTGATTTGAAGGCAGAGGAAACTGCTCTTTTAATAATTACATTCAGCTGATGAAGTCTTTGATTATTAGACAACAGTGTCACTAAGAAGTTTTCAGTTGTCAGTAATTGTAAACATCAGTACAGTGCCCTCCATTATGGTAAAGCTGTTGTCTTCAGATGAATGGCTCATATTTTGGTGCAGTGTTTGATGTTCAGAACAAAATATTATAATAATAAACTAACAAACTTGACTGCATTTGCCTCTTTGGGGAAATATTTAAAGCATCTTCTCTATATTTGTGCCAGAAATTGGTAATTTACATAAATTAACATTTTGATCTTTGCTGACATATTTGTCTACAGGAGGAACCTCTTCTTGGTGCTTATTTTTGAAACCTGATTCCGGGAGTATAGCTGTTCCCAGAGAACTAGCCTCGCCTGCCTCGTAGCTTCTGCCAGGAAATTATTCATAGATCATTTCTCCTACAGACTGGCCGGTGACCACATTGGCCCTTCAGAATCCTGGGAGGCCTCCTCAGCCCTTAACACCCCACCTTCAGTAAACTCTTCCTGGGATGTGGACCAGGTCACAGTCCTGACACTTTCACCAGAGTAGCAGAGCCAGTGTGACCTTCGATCAAGACTCCGCAGCCCATAGGCAATTGAAGGGGATGGTTAGCTTTCCACTCCCTCAGGTCACTGGGCAGCAGATGCTCCACGCATTGGATTCCAGGTCCTCCAGTGAAAGCTTTGCATTTCAGCTGCTTCTCCATGACAAGAGGCTGGGATGGTGGGAGCCACAGGTCTTTGGGATTTATTGGGGCTAGAAAGGAAGAGCTCCGACAAGTTTGATTACAGAGGAAATGGGTTTTCCCCAGAACAGCTTCAGGTGCTGGGGGCAGGGAGGTGGACCCAACTTGGTAGTTCCTTCTGTGCAGTCCACACCCTCCTTGCAGTCTGCATGAGTCCTTGCTTCCCTTAATAGGATGGCATGAGGGAAACACAGATGTTTAGAAAGTGAATGTGGGAAAGGACAAAGCCACTCTAAGTCTGTAGGCATGGACTTCAGGTATCTGCATAAATACTACAGATAACTTGTGGAAACAAAGATGATGGTCACTGGGAAAGTTAGTCTTGTGCTAATGTGGAAATAATTTAAAATACAACTTGGACTGATCTGCATTCTTCAGTGCAGGTTTTATTTGGAAGTTGTTTTTAGCTGGGCATGGTGGCACCTTTAATTGACTAGCACTTGGGAAGCAGTGAGTTCAAGCCTGGTCACATAGTGAGTTCCAGGCAAGTTGGGGATGCAGGGAGACACTGTCTCAAAAAGACAGAGAAAAAAAAAAAGTTGTTTTTAATCATTTAAATGATGCCATTTGGTGGTGATACATGTCTCAGGGTAAAACATCCCAGTCCTGTCTGTTTTTCTTGGAAGGTACTGACCTCTTTCTTGGCAAGAAACAGTTCCTTGATTTTTAGAAATAAGAACATTTGCCTAGCCCTGAGGTGCATACCAGTAATTCTAGGTACTTGGAGAATTGCTTAAGCCCAGGAGTGAGAGACCAACCTGGGCAACATAACAAGACCCTGTCTCAAAATTTTCAAGAGAAGTTGAAACTTACACCTGAGTAAGTACCAAGATTGTTTAGACCTCTGACTCATAGGCACATGACTTCAGGGGTGTATTGATGTCTCAAAGGGGCTGCTCCAGTCTTTCCCTCTCTCTCAAATAGGCCTTGAGCCCGGTTTGCCCCATTTTTTATCTCCACAAAGACAGGCTCTCCCTTTTAAAATAAGTTCTTTTATATTTGAGTGTTTTGTCTGCATGTATGTAAGTGTACCATATGTAGGCTCATACATCTTATGTCAGGTCCCTACCTTTCCAGCCACTAAGCACTTGGCCCTTTTGGCACTGAATAAGATCTTCAAAAAAGAGTGTGAGGGGGACTGGAAAGATGACTCAGTGGTTATAAGCACTGGCTACTCTTGCGAGGGACCCAGGTTCAGTTCCCAGCACATATATGGTGGCTAATAACCATAGGTAACTCTAGTTCCAGGGAATCCGACTTCTGTCCTCTGTGGGCATTGCATGACACAGGTACACTTACGTGCAGACCAAACACTCATACACACAAAACTAATTTTTTTAAGTTTGAGGGAAGAAGGCAAGCATATGCCAACTGAGTTTTCCTGAAAACACCATTGCTTTGGGTTTTTTTCCATGAGTCACTTCTAGGACAGCCAAGGATACTCTGACTTCCTTGGCCAATTCCCCAGCTGCAGAAACAAGATCTCTGAAATGTGCAGTTGTCCCCCCACCCTTAATTTTCTTTGCAAACAGGCCTTGAAATTGAAGGTATTTTTACAACTGTCATCTCCAGCAGCTGGGTTCAGAGTAAGCCAAGGATATTGAAGCTCTTGCTTTGCCCTGTATGCCTTCCTCTAGGAAGTTAGGGGTTACCTTTCCCTACCAGTGCTTGAATGGCTAACAGGTTTTCCCGATCCTGGTTAGTAAAAGCCACCCAAGCTAAGTGTCCTATAAGCTTAGAGCTTTCTGGGGCCACTAGGGAGGAAGTACTGTGCCAGGCCTCCTAGACTCGCAATGCTGGCCCTCTCAGATGATCTCAGCTTGCAGCCAGCTGTTAGGTTTATGTTGGGCCTCTTGTTGCTTAGGAACTGAAGGTCATAACGCTGTCTGCGAATGAACTGTGCTGTGGAGCAATGAGGTTTGTTCTCATTACCATAAGGCCAGGTCACTTTCCCTAAAGGAGCCCCTCTTCAGCTGCAGAATCTAGGGGGCCCCCGACCTTCAAGGACATCTGGTCTGTTTACCAGCCAAAAGCAAAACCCAAATGTATAGTCTGGATGCTGGTGGATAATTGTTTAATAGCTGGATTAGTTTATGCAAGATTACTTTTTACAGCCATAAAGTCAGTTCCCTAGTTTGCTTTTTATCAATAACTTGATCCATAAGGCACCAGACTTAGAGAAGTAACGTGAAACAATTTTGACATCTTTATTGACACTCCCTGTCTTTGCACTTGACTTGTACATATCATTTAAGGAGCCCAACAAGCTTCATAAATAGTGTGTGGTACATTCCCCTTTGTAGCAGGGCCCAGGCCCAGGTGAGCAGGGTTGAGTCCCTGCTGGCAACAGCAAGCCAAATGTGGAACAGCCCAAACTAAGCTCTGGGCCCCTATGTGGTGGCACAGGCCACATCAGTACTTCAGTGTTTAAACTTTTCTTCTATGCACAGCATAAAAAGAGAGGCATCAGCTACAGTGTTGCTCTCCCGTGAAGAGCAGCTACAGATGACCAACATCTGCACTTGCTCCTCACAGACCCTCCTCTCCAGCAGCTGTAGGAGGCAAGGTCCCAAGGCTCAGCCCAGTGGGGAAGCCACGTGAGCCTCCACAGGTAGCACCGCATAGGCCCAGCCTAGGAACCTGGAGTAGAGCTGGAGGCTAGGAAGAAGAGGAGGAGCCAGCTTCCAGGCAAGGGGCCTTGCCAAGTCTTCCCAGTTGTCCAGATAGAGTGACAGGAAAATGAGGGACCACACTAACCATGTGTCACCTCTGCTGCTTCTTGGAAACTTAAAGGTGCTGGTCTCTACTGTGAGGTAAGGCCTTTATCTTGGGGGCAGGTGAAGGGATGTATGCAGAAAACTAGACCAGTGCTCCAGTTACATAAACAATATATTAAAGCTTTGGATTTTTTACAACCTTCCCTCCCCCTTCCTGGCTACCCTAGAGGTGGGAAAGGAAAGGATACAGGAAAACACCACTAAAAGTGGAGTACATTTCATCAAAGTCTGTGTGAGCCAACCTGCCCCCAGTTACCACAACACTGACTCCATCTCCTGCCTTCAAGTGCACAATGAGTTGGAAGGCACCCGGGCCCCCACAGGTGTGCACAGCCCCAGGGGGGCGGTGATACTCCAGGAACTCTCGCCTGTACCCAGCCGTGTGCAGCTGAGCGATGCTGGCGTTGGAGACGGACAGGACTGCTTCCACATAGGCATCTCTCTCGGGGGTCAGGGTGGCTGTGATCAAGTAGCGCCCATCATATGGAGCAGTGAAGATTCCTAGGAAGAAGCAGGCAGACAGGTGAGCTGTTCCCTTGCCTTCACAGCCCATTATAGACTAACCTGGTCTGCTAATGCCAGTACAGTCACAGGGGACAAAGGCAGGATGGTTGGTCACCAAACCTGTAGAGAGCTAATTTGAGAGAATGTGCCCCTCCCCCCTTGTTTTTCGGTATGAAGATCAACCCCAAGGCTCCTGCATGCTAGACAAGGACTGTACCACTGAGCTACATCTCCAGCCCCGCTATGGCCCCTTAACACCACACTCAGACTGACATGCTTCTCACTGTACTAGGTTTGTACTATCGAAGGAAATAATAATGTCTCATCAAAACACAGCAGGTGCCCAGACCCTGGCAGGACAAGCACCCAGTTCCACATGTAGTACACAGCATGTGCCTCCTGAAGATGGAGGGCCAAGGCCCAGCCCCTCGAATATTAAAAACCACCTGCCCGAATCCTAGATGCCCCTTGGGGCACTTCTCCCCTATTAAGAGCACCCAAAATCCAACTCAGAGCGTGATACCTAAGGTTGAGTGAACGCAAAGCTTGCCCCAGCCCAGGGAGAAGCAGACCCTGAGCCATAGCCCTAGGTCACCGCACTCTAGTCCTAGAAAAGCCTGCCAGGTGGTATCCACTCATGGCAGAGGCATTGCTACCCACTTATCCAGGGACCTACATGGCTGGGGCAGCAAGGGACCTGTGGCTGGTGGTGAACTACTGACAGAGCAACCACAGGTAGGGTAGGTGGGGGAGGACAGCAGACCTTTACCCCAACCACAAGCCAACTTCTACCATGGAAAAAAAAAAGACCTATCAAAGAGACTGGGCCTTCCGGTCTGCCTCAGGCTACCCACCCAGCTCAGCTTTAAAAATAACATTTTGTTTAAAGCTTCTGGAATCTTTCAAGAAGGCACCTGGTGCTGAAGCCCCACTATGCCAGGAACAGCCTGCACCTTCCTCGTCTGAGGGGGCTCTGCCTAGCTCAAGATCATGTGGAACTTCCTTGGCAGCACCCTACTCCTATGAGACCAGTTCTACGAATGAGAAAAGGGCAGGGTACTAGCCCTCTTGTGTAGACTACCTGATGTCTGTGAATGGACATGCCATCCCTACAACCAAGGCAGCCTGAAGTAAAAGCGGGTGGTCGCCTTGTCCTCAGACATACCTTCCTTTCCACCCTGGTTCAGAGTCTCTGAATGGATTAGAAAGATTGCTAAGCTTTGCTCCAAACAGTCTGGGGTACCCACATTCTTTCTCTAAAAGTCTGACAATGACTTTCATGCCACTGACATTTTTAGCACTGCCCTCGGGACAGCCCTGGGGATAGTAAGGGTACTTCAGATGTGCTCCAGAGTGGGAAGGCCCCACAAGTCAGGCTCAGCCCCCTTCTGGAGAGAACACAGCCCCTTCCAGGCTCTGTTCATTGTAAACAGGATTCTAAAGGGAGTCTCTCTGCCTCTGGCCTGCCGAGTCCCAGGGTGTTCAGGTGACCACTAGAAGTGGCCAGGGTGGGACAGGCCCCAACTGGCAGTCTCTTTTAACAACCCTAAAATGAGCAGAAGTTCTGTGGGTGGGTACAGAGGCATGTGCTGTCCACCACACCTGCAGTCCAGGAGTTGAAGGCTTGATGCCGCTGCTGCCTGGGGCAGAGCAGCCTGTGCCCTCTCCAGCCCCCTGGGTCCCACACAGGAAGAGGGTCTGGGCTACTTGCATCTGAACAGGGCAAGACAAGAGTTCTGCTTTGCTTCAAACACTCACCGGTGTTAGGGTTGTAAACGTCCCCATCGTTTACCAGCACCTTGTTAAAGAGGACAATACCTCTGTCACTGGGGAAAGGTTTCTGGGTAAGCCCAGCTGAAAAGGACACCAGGGCAGGCAGCGACACACCTAGGGCAGAGAGGACAAGAATATGTGGACGTCTCCAAGTATTGGGGCATACTAGATACAAGCTATGCCTCCTGCCCAAGGGCCAGGGGTTCCCCTTGTCAGATCAGTGGCCAGGAGAGCTGATAGACTGGGGAATTGAATGGGCTCTTGTTGGAGTGTGTGAGATACTGGGCGTGAAAGCCTCAAGGGGATTGTGCATCCAAGAGGGCATGCACATGAGGCTGAGAACCTGTGAGGAAGAATGAGGTTGCAGTGGCGTTGGTGAGACCTCTCCTGCATCAGACCTGCCCAGGTGCTAGGTGCATAAAGGCAGCGGTCTAAGGAGCTGCTTGTTGGATAAGCCCATAAAGCCTGGGCCCCAGGAAGCTTGTCAGGACCACCCAGGGCACAGCCCACCCAGTGATCCCCTTGGAAACATGAGCAGATGATTAGGAGGGAAAATTCTTGTCTATGGCCTGCCTTAGCCTCTGGGAGTTCAGTCCACAGAGGCCAGTTCCACGGCTGCTGGGTGTGGAAGGGTTGGGCCCAAGGCTCGACCCATACTAGGAGACCACAGGGAGAAGGCAGGAACTTCAGAGCATGCACAAGCATCCTGTCCCGAGCTCTGAGCAGAGCAGATGTACCTGGGGAGGCTACAGGAGGTGACTTGGGGTAACCTGCAAAACAAGAGAATGGGGTGTTGAAGTCCTGAAGTCATTTTTCTGAACCTCTTTTATCCCTTCTCCAAACTGTTCAAATCTAGTCTCCATTACTAAAGAAACCCAGAGCAAGAAGAGCAGCTCTAAGATGCCTTCCTAGAAAAGGAAGCACACTGCACCACTTCCCTTTCTCCCTTGGCCAGCTTGTGCTTAGACAGGAATACAAGGAGAGGTGGGGTCAGGCAGGGACAATCTAAAGACTGACTCCTGCCACCTGGTGCATTTGCCCTTTAAAGACATCATCTGTTCAAACTGCCTCAAACTAAACAGTACAGTATTAGTGGACAGGTTAGATGCAGGGGTTGGTGGGTGCATAATAAGCACGCATACACAAATAGCTCAAAAGAATGAGCATCCATGAAACAGGACCAACAGAAGACAAACTCCTTTTGGAAAAGGCAGTTGTGGGGCTGGAGAGATGGCTCAGCGGTTAAGAGCACTGACTGCTCTTGCGGAGGACCCAGGTTTGATTCCCAGCACTCACATGGAGGCTACGAATTTTCCTTAACTCCAGTTCCAGGGGAATCCAAAACCCTCTTCTGACCTCCATGGCATTGCACGACATGGGTGCACTCTCATCCATGCAGGCAATACACTCATACACATAAAATAAAAATTAAAACATTTAAAAAAGCAGTTGTGATGGTTACAGCTTAGGTGACTAAGGGATACAAAAAGCACGAAACAGAAAGCAGGTCCTTCAGTGTCCCAGCCTACCAGACAGCCATGGTTCTTCACCAGTCATTGATGCACCAGGCTATCACTGGTAGGAACCACTCCCCACCCAGGCCTGCCAGTGGCTGAGTGTCCCTGAAGGTCAGTCAGCCTGGTCTAACTGGAAACAGAATACGCATCATCCTCTGCCAGCTGTATGACCTGCCCCCAGCAAGGGCATTTGTTTACATCTGAGCCCCAGACTCACGTAAAACAACCATTACTGGCCACCCAGTAGACACCTGGAGATGGAGATGGGGTTAGGTCTTGGGTGTGTGATAGTGAGTCCACACACTAGCTCTCTGTTCTTTCTCCCTACTGTCTGGACTCTGGCCACACCAACATTACCACTGTCACCCTCACCAGGACAGTAGTGGCTCTAACATTCACAACACACATGGAGTCCTACCCAGCCAGCTTGTCTCCATCTTCACTGTCACCCTTGTGGTCCCCTTCCATCCACATGTGGCTGTTAGGGCAGATGGTCCAGGGATGTGGTGATGTATGGCAGTGGCCTGGCCACTGCTACACACCTGCCTTTGCTAACAGGCTCCCTGTGCACTTTTGATTTTTCCCAAGACCCTCCTGGCTACAAAGGCCCAATGAGTTGCAGCCCCATTCCCAAAGTAATTGTATTTCTAAATACAATTTCTTTTGCTATACCTGGGGTAGGTCAGATCAGCATAAAGTGGTCCCTAGTAACCTTGGAAGCTACCTTCCTGAACTTGGCCCCCTAAAAATAGGATCCTGGACCCATAGTGTGTACATGTACACACACACACACACACACACACACACACACACACACCCAGCAGGCATTCTTCTCCAGGATGGGCTTACCTGGTGCGCCAGCATAGCCTTCTGCGCTGGGGATGGGCCCCTGCCCCATCTGGCCATCCACTCCCTGGGGAAGGCCCCGCCCAGATACACCCATCCTCCCTGGAGGCCCTGCCTCTCCAGTCTCCATGATGACCCCAGTGGAGCCTGGCAGGAAGGACAGCCCTGGCCGACCAGGCCAGGCAGGCAGAGGTGGTGGCTGCAGGGGTCTCTGAGGCAGTATGGGTCGCTGGCCTGTCTGTGGTGGTCTGGCAGTGTCCTCCAGTGGCGGGGTCAGCTGGGGTAGCTCTGAGGGGGCCTCCCCTGAGTGCCTGGTGGGCTCCAGTGGGGTCTTCCCAGCTGGGGACTGAGGTGCTTCAGAAGGCTCTTCTGCTGAGCAGTGGAAAAGAAAAACACAAAATTAAAATGTCTCAGGGCTGGAGAGGGCTCAGGGCTCAGCGGTTAAGAACACTGGTTGTTCTTACAGAAGACCCAGGTTCAAATCCCAGCACCCACATGGCAGCTAGCAACTGTCCATAACTCCAGTCCCAGGGGATTCGACAGCCTCTTCTGACCTCTGTGGGCATTGCACGACATGGGTACACTTACCTACAGGTAGGCAATACACACATACACATAAAATAATGTCCCCAGGTAACTGCTCAGTCCTAGGTCCCCCCATGTGAGAGCTCTGCGACATGACACTTGATCCCTACCAAGGGCTGTGCTCCAGTAGCTGTCCTGCTACAGCTGGACAGGCTGTAGGGTAAGTAGCTCAGGCACTGTCCCCAGCAGGACATGAAGAGCAGCACCCCAGCTTGGGGACAGCCTGCCTGGCATCTTCCAAAGGAGCTACTGTCAAGCTGCCTCAGGTTCGCCTCAGGGAGGGGCTGGGAAGGCATCTGGGCCCTCCTTGATGGAGTTAGTGGCATTCTAAAACAGCATGGTCCTGGCTCCAGCATCCCAAATTTCCTTTCACTGCATGCCCACACCATAGACGTGTCCCACATCACCATCTGACAGCCACAGTCTCTAAAACAAGCCAGCCTCAGTGTCAGGCTGATAGCCTCACCACCTTGGCTGCCCAGGCAGGTGTTGGGAGCCTAGTCTGACCTCAAAGAAGTGTGACCACCATCTCCCCACACCCTCGGATAACCAATGAAGGGACTTTCCAAGAAAGGAACCTCCAAATTCTGCTTCTCTGCCTTTCTGAGGTGGCCACTGAGGTGACTCAGCTGGAAGCTGCCACCCCTCTCTCCTCTGAATACATTCCTGGAACTGGCCTTCCAGCAAGCCCTTGCTGAGTGCCCACAGAGCATCTGAAACTCATCAGGTCCACTTGCAAATGCAAAGCCCACCCACTTTCTCCATCTGGTGCCTCCAGTGCCCCAAGGTCCAGTGCTGGACACCTACAGGGCCAAACAGCTACAATGGGACACCATCAGCAACTGCATTTTGGTCTACTGTCTATATCCACTTTAAAGATCTGTAAGAAATATATGGCAGGTCTTCCCTCCCTCCTGAGAGGACTGTTGAGATAGGCTGTTTCCCAAGACAGCCTGTCTCCTTGAGCAAATGGTCCCAAGAAGAGATCATAAACCCTCTGACTCTCAAGATAAACCAGAGCAAACAAGGAAGAAGGGAGTAGGGGGGCAAGGGGGCCATAAACATCTCCAGAGTACCCCAGATCAACATGTAGCCAGCCAGCCACAGCTATATCCCATATAAGCCCCAAGGACCCCTCCTGCCCCAACATGCCGGAAGGCTGTCCCTCACTGAGGTGCTTCAATAAACTCAGTCTTGTCTCAGGTCAGGTATGGTCTCCTGCTTTCTCTCCTATTGTTCCTGCATTCTATGCCCCAATACCTAAGACTGTCAAATACATGCTCCCCAGCCACCCAGAGTCAAGTGGCCAGAGCACCGCCAAGAAAGTTATTTTTCACCTTTTCTAGCCAATTTTCACGAGAGTAAGCGCCACAGAAACTAGTTTGTGTAGTCACTGTCTTAAGGTCTCCCAAGGATGTATCTGGAAATTCCATTTTAGATACAGAAAAACAAGTGTGGTAGCATGTCTATAATCCCACCACTCAGAAGCTGAGGCAGAGGGTCATGAATGAGGCCAGCCTGCACTATTGAAACATTGCCTCAAATCTTTTGACTGTGTCACAAACTTTCATTCTTTTTTCTTAATTTGTTTCATTTTATTTTTAATTATGGGGGGTATATCCATATGAGTGCGGGTGTCTACAGATGTCAGAAGAGGGCAATGGATCCCCTGGTGCTGGAGCTACCAGGTGGTTGTGAACTGCCTGATGTGGGTGTTGGGAACTAAACTCCAGTCCTCTGCAAGAGCAGCCAGTGCTCTTAACTGCTGAGCCATCTTTTCAGCCTCACAAGCATCCTTTCTTTAAAAGCTATCAGGAAGTCTGTTGCACTGAAACATGAAGGTAACACCATGAAAAAAGGGTGAAGAGGGTCTCACACACGAGAGTCTCCTAGGATAGTGATAGAGCAAGGCTGATAGAAAGCCTTGTGACAAATCTAGAGGTTAATCAAATGTGACAGGAAGAGCAAGAACTCCAGGAGAGAAGTTGTTAATGTTTCAAGTGAAATGACACATTTTATGGTATAGACAATTATGGGGCTGGAGAGATAGATGGTTCAGTGGTTAAGAGCACTGACTGCTCTTGCAAAAGACCCAGGTTTGAATCCCAGCACCCATATGGTGGCTAACAACTGTCTATGACTCCAATTCCAGTAGATCCAATGCCTTCTCTGTCCTCTGCAGACACCACATGACACGGGTGCACTTACATACATTCAGGCATAACATTCATACACAAAATAAAAATAAATTTTTAAAAACTTTTTTTAAAAATTGCATGGAGAGGCTGTTGGAAGTTGAAAAGAATCCAAAATAGATACATGAAATCTAGAACCAAATAAGAACTAATTCAGAGAAAAACAGAAAGAAGTAGATCAGAGGCACAGATAGAATAGCCCAAATGCTGAATGTTGAATATTATTATGGTATAACTACTTTGAGAGTTAGGTGGAAATCAGTACCCAAGGTCCAAAGATAATGAGTCAACTTAGAAACATGGAGGCAAATATCAAGGCGAAAACTAAAGTTTGAAGCAGTGAGAAGGTTGGAGAGGGAAGGCAACTGAGCTGAGTTGTGTGAGCTCAGTGCTGTTTAACTCATTTTATTACATTGTATTATAGCAGACACTCATAGGCCTGATCTCACCTTTCCCCTCAATCCAAGCATCCCCGGACACCAATTCCAGTTGCCATGGTTCCAGGCACATGCCCTTAGTTCCAATATCACTTAATAATCTAAAAATTCTCTGCTCCTTCCTCACTGGTCCCTCTCAGCTAACCCAACTTTTTTGCACAAGTTTTGGTCTCCATCAAAAATTTAAAAGAAGAAGGGGCTGGAAAGATGGCTTTACAGTTAAGAGCACTGATTGCTCTTGCAGAGGACCTAGGTTCAGTTCCCAGCACCCACATGGCAGCTAACCATGCATAACTCCAGTTCCAGAGGATCTGAGACCTTCTTCTAACCTTTGTGGACATGGCATGACACAGGTATACTTACATACATGCAGGCAATACACTCATAAAATAAAAATAAATAAAATTTTTTAAAAATTTAAGTTTTTTTCTCAGTCTTTAGCCCTCAGTGAGTCAGTTAGCCAAGTGTAGGCCTCTTCCCTTCAAATACATACTTTTCTAGCAATCTCCCCACTCAGGAGAGGAAGTGCCAGGCCTAAGCACAGGCTGCACTAGAGAACACAGCTTCCGCCTTGTAAGGGCAGCCCGTGCTTCTGCAAAAGAGCCAACCTAATCTTCCCCTGTGCCTAGAGACTGATGATGCGAGCAGCCTGGATGAGGGGATATACCAGGGAGCGACACACCAGCTTATGGGACACTGGGGGCAGGGGGAGAGATATATAAGGCCTGCCCTTTCCAGCAATAAACGAGTCTGCAGCACCTCGCCTAGTGCCTGCTTCCACCCGACTCCCAGTGTCTGTGTGTTGACTCCATGCCGCTCACCCCCACCTCAGCCAGAACCCTCGTTCCCTGCAGTCCCTCGTGGGCTGGACCTGCGAGGAAACCTGCAACACTCAGGTACTATTCACAATAGCCAAGTTATGGATTCAGGCTGGATGCCCATCCATGGATGAATAGACAAAGAAAATGTGGTATATATACATAATGGAGTATTATTCTGACATGAAGAACATTGAAATTGTCATTTGCAGGAACATGAATGGAACTGGAGATCACGTTAAGTGAAATAAGCCAGACAAACACGTTTTCTCTCATCTGTGTGTGTGGTATGCATGCATGTGTGCATACATGTTTTCATGTCTATATGTCTGTGTGTGTCCAAGCTCATGCACAGAGGTTGATGTTGAGAATCATCCTCAGACACTTTTCCTATTTGTTGAGCAGGGTCTCTCAGTGAAGCCCAGAGCTCACCGATATGGCCAGTCTTGCTAGCCAGCTTCCTCTGAGGATCCCGTCTCTCCCTCTGACGCTGGCATTACAGGCAGGCTGCCCCACCGACTCCGCTACAGGCAGGTTGCCCCACCGACTCCGTGTTTGTGTGGGTTCTGGGAATCCCAACTCAGATTTTCAGTTAAGTAGCAAGTGCTTTAACCACTGAGCTTTAACCAGCCCCTTGTGCAATGTTTTATTTAAAAAAAAAAAGGGACGAAAGTAGAAGAGGGGGAGGGTACTAGAGTGAGGAGAGAGAGAAGGTGAATGTTCTAGTTTGCTGTGATAAAACGCTGATTAAAAACAACCTGGGGAGGAAAGGGTTGATTTCATGTCACACTTTACAGTCCATCACGGGAAGCCAAGGTAGGAACTCACAGCAAGAGCTCGAAGCAGAACCAGGGAGGAACACTGCTTGCTGGCTTTCTTCCAGGCCCATATTGAGCTATGTTCCTTATACAGTCAAGACCCACCTGCCTAGGGATGGCACTGCCCACAGAGGGCTGGGCCCTCCCACATCAATTAGCAGTCAAGACAATGTCCCACAGTCATGCCCAGAGGCCAATTCAATGGAGAAACTCTTCAGTCGGGATTCCCTCTCCCCAGGTGTGTCAACAAAACTAACCAGGACAGTGAAAGCTTTGTGTGGGGTTTTGGTTTTGTTTGTTTTAAGGCATATAGAGGGCTGGGGAGATCGCTCAGTAAAGTGCTTGCCAGACCTGCATGAGGACCTGAGCTCAGTCCCAGGACCCCTATATAAAGCCAGCTGCAACAGCGGCCCCAGTAATCCCAGCATGGGGAGGTGGAGACAGGAGGACCCCCGGGGCTTGCTGGCCAGCCAGTCCAGTTGAATCTATAAACTTCAGGTTCAATGAGAAACAGTGTCT